TCACATGACCACCAAACCAGGGTAAGTCAACGCCCTTCTGGGTCAAAGTTCAATGCACTCTATGAGCATATGGCTCTCCAAGTTGCCTAAAAACTAAGTTCATTCATGCTCATTAAAGCACACCAGCTCTTTGTGATACATTTTACATTACACCCAGCTACTTTACAGTGTGTAGCTATTTAAACACTTCAGTATTATTTTGTATATTAAAATACTCAGTTGTTGAGCTAGGAAAATTTGGATTAGATCATATTTCATTATGCAAAAGTTTAATATTTCAATATCAAAGTTAATTTAGCAATGTTGGTTTTTGACAGATTTTTAAAATTAAATCACAGCCTACAGTAGAAACTCAGATTATTATACAAAACACACAAGTGCCAATTATTAAAGCCAGATGATGAGTCAGTAGGTACTTGGAAGTGAAAAATAAACTTGATGCATAATGTTACATGCTAATTTTGTGGGTTTTCTCCAAAGTTGACAAGGCTTGATGTATGGTAAGAATTCAATGATGGAATAAGTTTGTCCTTGTTACAGAACGAGGAGACGTTCTGTGGTGCCTTCAGTTGCAGCCGGCAGCGCAGAACAAGGCCAGGCCTTCTCTGTCAGCATGAGACATGCCTTCGTACCTTTTTCAGGTTACTATGATGATATTGTTGCTTTGTGTGGGGTGATCGCCGTTTCTGTCTTGGGCTGTTTTATCTTCAGCTGTGTCCTCCTGTGCTGTACTGTAGGTGGGATGATATTGGCAGCTGATTATTCCCAGCTGGAGTTGAGAGTGTTGGCTCACCTGTCCAGGGACCAACGCCTTCTGCAGGTCAGTGGCTTAGACGCACAGCGAATAGCAAGAAAACATCATATAACTAACATGAATGAAAAAGGTAAATAAATGATGAAACTGTTTGTCACCAGGTGCTGAATGGTGGAGCAGACGTGTTTCGCTGCATCGCCGCTGAGTGGAAAAGTGTCGACCCAGAGTCTGTCAACGACAACCTCAGACAACAGGCAAAACAGGTACAACCATGCAGGAAAGAGAAGATAACATGGACACACTTGCATTCTCACTGCTAAGCTCACCGATGTGCACATGTATTGGTCTTTTCAGATTTGCTATGGCATTATCTATGGGATGGGAGCCAAGTCTTTGGGGGAGCAAATGGGAGTGGAGGAGAACGACGCAGCTTGCTACATAGAGAGTTTCAAGGCCAGATACAAAGGTACACACTTGTACTTACTTCACTCCTTATATTCTGGATCTAAACTATTGTTTGGGCGTATATGTAAGTTTATGGCTCTACATACACAAGCAATTTTTCAAAATGTAACTATATGTATTGTTTTAAATTTTACTGTGGACATATATCAAAGTTGTGAATGTATATGTATGTATAAGTAAAATTGTGTAAGAGGGTGCAAGTAAGGGACGGCTCAATAACACATGTCCAATAACGCAACCTTGAAGTATCTGCCGATACTACCAATACTTTTCCCTCCCATAAACAACTAAGCTGTTAATAATACATTTGTGTTACGCTTTGCTTAACCTAGTAGTTAGTATCATGCTCACACTATGAAACAAACAAACAATTCTCTAGTACTGGTAAGACCAATTGAATTAGTGCCCACACAAATGGATAAAGTCCATTTGACCTGTCCTGTCTTGTGATTTCAGGGATCAATGCTTTTCTTAAAGAAACTGTGAAGAACTGTATAAAGAACGGTTATGTTCAGACTCTGATGGGCCGTAGGAGATACCTACCTGGGATCACTAACAGCAATACGCACGCCAAAGGACACGTAAGCATGATTGTCCATCAGAAGTTGCCTGAATATTTTTGTAAGCTGTGCAATGGAAATTTCATGTGGTTCTTTTGATTTATTCCCTATTTCATAGCTTTTTCTGTCTCTCTCTCTCTTCCTCCATTCAGGCAGAGCGTCAGGCAGTAAACACAACCGTACAGGGTTCAGCAGCAGACATTGTTAAACTTGCCACTGTGAACATTCAGAAACAACTCAGAAAAACATATCCTGCAGCTCCACTCTCTCACCAGCACACACAAGCAGGTGACTTAATCTTAACCTCTTCCCATTCTTTAAAAACACGCAGAAAGAGATAACCACTGTATCGTTTCAAACGTAATTAATCATGCCTGATGATATCAAATGGTGTCCATTACACAGCCAGTAATCACCGCAGGGCTGGGAAGTCTAAACTCGGAGGAGCCTACTTTGTCCTGCAGCTGCATGATGAGCTCATCTATGAAACCACAGAGGGAGACCTCATACAGGTATGAAAATTAGCATGGTGGTAGCATTTGGTAAATATGTTTAGTTTACAGAAAGCTTAAGATTTAAAACAGTGTATGTGAGGTTTTCATCGGAGTGATTTTTTTTCTAGGCCGACAAAGTAGGTTAGTTACAGACAGGCGTGATATGATCGCTTGAATTTGAGACATTCAATTAACGCTGAAAACTGACACCTCTGTTTACAGTAATTGATAGACCTGTGATAGGAGATAACAAATACAGGTTTTTTGATGGATTTCTACTTTTATGTAGTGCATTGTGGAGAAACCGCAGAACACATTCTGAAAAAGACCACACATATACATAATTCTTTGTCTTTCTATCAGGTTGCTCAGATAGTCAAGAGGGAGATGGAGTCTGCAGTAAAACTGTATGTAAAGCTTAAGGCCAAAGTCAAGATGGGACCCAGCTGGGGCAACTTACAGGACCTAGATATATAATGCCAATGTTTTAATGTTTTGATGTTTGATATTGAAATGAAATGCAGTTTATGGTTTAAGGTTCTTTAATACATCAATATTATAATTTGTACTAAAATAAATATATTTTTTTAATCACTACATTAATAATGAAATGTAAGAAACTCACAGCCTATGACTGCACTATGTGCTCTAAATGAACTATCAAAATGTATTTATAATTCTGTTTTTCAGTGTACAGTGTAACAAATTATACATTTGTCATGAGATTTTAACACAAGATGATATTCAATGTTATATAATAAGATGAAACGTTTTTTTCCCCTCTATTTTGAAAGCATGTGGCTGCAACAATTTTTTCCATTATCGATTAATGTGCTGATTGTTTTGTCAATTAACAGTTTAATTTTTAAAAAAACACTGATAAAATGCCCAACAGAGCTCAATGTGATGGTACAAAGATATTCAATTTACAATGATATTTGCCAAAGGAAATCAGCGAATCATCTCATGTGAAAGGCTCGAACTGGAGAATGTTTGGCATTTTCTCACAATTTTTGCTTGAAAAAAAGGCTGAAACGATTAATCGATTATCAAAATAGTTGCCCATTATTTTCCTGGTGATCGACTAATCGTTTCAGCTCTACTATGATCCATTTAAAATAAAGACACGGAGCAGCTTTAGTCTTGAGGACATCCTGAAATCTCACATTTTATTGGACCGTTGGTTGATTGGTTGTCTGTCACAAGAACATACATCATTATCATTGTCACTCGTTAACGTTTTATTTTACACTTATGACATTCACTGCACAAGAAGTGTTGTCAGTATGATAGACATTTTCTGTGCAATGCGAAAATCACCACCTCTGGTTATGGGGAGAAAAATAAATGTCGTCCAAGAAGCATTTTGTGTGTGTGACTTTAGTCGTAATTATTTTGAAGACATATATGATGACCTGTTAGTGCTGTGCAGGTGGACCTCAATAACCTCAATACAAAAAGTAAGATTTTTAAATGATTCCATTCAATATTGCCAATATAACCAATGTAGACTATTTCAATGACCCTCTTCACAACCCTTAACTTGAACTTAATAAAAGGGCGATTTACACCCCTGGATAAACACCTTTTAGGGTGACTTTTGCTCATTACTGATTCACAATTAACCGGTGCACCATGACTCAACAGAGTTCATCAACACAGGCTCAGTTTGACACAAAAAAAGAGTAACAAGTAAATAAATACATGTCATGGACACATCCATAAACAAATACAACAAATAAATCATTAACAGCTTTTGATGAACAAGACTTTTTTTCTTCTTTAAAAAAAAAAAAAAAATGTTTTAAAACAGTAGGAGTGTGATCGCAGATGTTGGTACAGATGTCAAAAAAGGCCTTTTGTGTGTGAAACAGCCGTTGAACTCATGCCACTACTTAATCTAATGGACATATTGTTTATCCAAAAGGTGTTAACTTGTGTCAGTGCTGTCATTACACAGAGTAATGTGATGAAATGACTGTTGATGCTCATCAATAGGACAGTGATGTTGACGTGAATCACCCTGTGATGAAGCCCATCAAGACGCTGCTGCTGTGTGTTGCTCTTTAATGTTTGGGTACTACCCATACCCCATGATATAAATGTGTTTTTATGAGGCAGCAAGAATTACCATAAAAGAGAACAATCATCTGCACACACAATGATAATCAGTATCTTTGGTGGTTTTCGCCGTTGTCCACTGACCTTTTTGCACCTCTAAATTATACAACAAATATTGGCTTCAGTCGTTTATACAAGGGGAGATGACCAACAACTGGCAAATTCTGTGGTTGGCAATTTCAAAGCCAATGAGAGGACTCTGAAGAAGAAGTAATGCCTTCCAACTACAAATCCACCACACTGTCCCCTTTAGGGCCGAGCGGACTCATACAGAAATTAGACTAATGTGTTGGGAGTATGCAGGTTTCTGTAAACATAGTTTTTTAGTCAGACTCACTGCCACAAACAGAAAAAGGTTATTAATCAATTAAGGCATTGACACAGGCGGAACTGTGCAGAGTAGAAAACAGAAAATATATGTACACAGGTACAGTTAAGTGCTACTCAAGCAGCCTCGTTTTCCACTGGCTAGATCTGGGGCAAGAAAAACGGGGACCAGGACTGGCCTTTTCTTGCTCCATGAATCACAGGGGGGGGACGGTGGGGGGCTTTGAGTCTGAGGCCGGGAGCTTTGCCCTTGTTAGCAATAAAAAAAAAAAAAAAAAATCCCTGGGGGGGGGAAAGCTCTTGGCCCTGGCCTAGGTTATTAGGATATAACAATTTACATGAAAGAAGGGAAGTAAGGACACAAGAGGTTTGAGGACGACTTATAGGAAGGTGTCAGGGCGTCTCTCCGTTGCGGCTGAAGTAGTACCTGACCGGAGGACCGGGGAGGTCATCGTCTCCATCTGCTTCTGGAGCAAATGACACGGTGAGGTCAACGTAGCGCCGGTCCACTGATGGCTTGATCAGCTTCTGCATCCTGCAGAGAGTCAGAGGCAAGGTTAGTGCATCTGTTCATTAAACAAGGGATGGATCATTTCAATCTGAGTTAGGGAGTGAGGTTTGGTCTCTATAAAAAAATGTAGCAATCCTGGTTTCTATCACTCTCCTATGTTTGTCCGTGTCAAGAGCTGTTGATCTGTATGTCTGTTTGAGTGCGGGGCTGAGATACACACACACACACACACACAGTGGACAAAGAGTATCACAAAAAATGGGAGAATCAATAAACACTTACGTTAGTTTGAGTCTCTTTGAGTGTCCAGGCATCACAGGCACATACAGCATCTTCACACCATGGACGACCATAGTGGGTTCAATTCCATACTTTTCCTGAAATAAAACAACCAATCATCATCATAAAAAAGAAAGAAAAAATGAAGAAGAATAAAAACCTCTAAATACGACAATGCTGAAACTGTATCTAAACTGCTAATACACCAAAAAAGTACAAGACGTGTAAACAGTTCTCACCCTCACTGCATTCATGAAGTCCGAGAGAGTGAAGTCCTCATGGCCAAAGATAGTCCAACAGTCCCAGATGGAGAAGTAGATGTTGTCCCTGGAAAAGACATAATTGAGCAGTCACAACATTACATTGCAATAATAATGAAATATGGCTAATGGTGCCATCTTGTAGCTGGAATTTTTTACTTTGCTTCTGTAATGTTGCAATAATAGTACGGTGGTCATACGTGTAATAGATGGAGTCAAAACAGCACTGCTATCTTGCCAGGTGTTTTATCACCTTTAAGCAGTGTGAGAGACAGTGAGCTTGATAAATTATAGATATGTCCTTACCTGATCCGTGTCCTTTTAACTGTGGCAGGCTCAGTGAGCACCACTACAGGGATGGCCAAGTTAAAGAAGCAGTTTTTGAAAGATTCAAACTCGTAGGCTCCAACCACCTTGATCAACTCGAGGGCCACCTGAGTACATGAATTGAAAATGCCCAATATGTGTTTCAAAGGTGTTTCAAAATAAACACACCATGTTTAACCATGAAAATATGGCAGAAATGTCTAACTTCTCACCAGTCCAGCCACAGCAGCTGTTGCCGTGGCGATAGCGGGTATGATCTTGCCGGCGATGCGTTTGGTCTTGAGTCTGTCGGCTGGCTCGATGGAGTACATCCTGGCTCTGAGAGCAGATGCTGATGCGACAAAGTCTATGTGACCGTTGCTGTCATCGTCCTTTTCAAACTGCAGTGGACTCAACTGTAACCTCTCTATATGTGAAAGCACAGACATCATCGCTGATTATTAAAAGTAGTTAATAGGATGAGAGATGAGTGTATGTTCTCTAACTATTTACACTGCTGTAATCAATATAACTCAATATCAATCCAGCTTTCAGATTTAAAATGTAGCAGTCCTCTTGAGTCTCCTTGTACAAATCTTCCTGCTGAATATTTGTTGTAATTTTGTTTCTTTAACAGCGAACCTGCTGTGACATTGTCAGTAGCAATGGCCTGCTCCAGCTGTGTGATGGCCTCCCTCTCCTCTTCACTGCTGAGAGGCATCTTTATCTGATCCGGCTTCTTGGCCGATTCGTCCGTCACTATAGACTGGAAGGGACACATCCAGCAACAATCATCAAGATTAGGATTTTTTTTACACTCCGATAGAAATCAAGACCACATCAGTGGAGGAGCTTACTTTCTCTGAGGGCCTGTACTCAGGAATATTGACATCTGAGAGAATCCTGGTCACCGCCTCTTCAGAAAGATCCTGGGAAAGAAGACAAGTGCGTAAGTCAGTGGGTAAGTGTGTGTTTGACAGAGTGTATGCGAGGGTGGACGTGACCTACCTTTTCTGAGTAAGGGATATTATAAATCCCTGCGAAGAGCCGGGCAGTGCTGACAATGAAAGTGAAGTGCCTGATGGGAAAAGAGGAGGGTTTTGGCTAGCTTAGATATGAAACATAAAATGCTAGAAAGGCTTACGCTGTAATATGAGCATACTCACAAAGAGTCTTTCAAGTCAAAATCTAAAGGTGCTGGGGGTCTTTTTGGAGACTGCCAAAACAAACCTAAGGAAAGGAAGAATAATTCAACATATTCTCTGCTTTAAGTCGTTATGCAAATTAAATTATTGTGAATTCATCTGGTAACTTTATAGGTATACATGTGTTTGAGAAAAACTTACTTCCATCTTTTAACCTTGTATCCAGGGGGAAAGAGTGCAAGAGTTGTAGGGCCTGCAAAAAAACATCAGTAACATGTAAACACTGCTTGTGTTGTTGCACCGACACACATATACATACAATCCATTTAGTGAATGTGTATTTTCAGACTCTTTACCTTTCTCTTGAAATACTTTTCGAATTTCAGACGGGCAACAGTGATGCACTGTTCCCACTGGCTTGGCCGTCTGCTCAGCAGCTTGATGACCTGGAATGACCCCTCCAGACTTTCCCCTGCCTGCATCCTCTACACACACACACACACACACACACACACACTTTTATTAAGTATTACATTGCTGGCATAAATCAACACAAAGGCTACTTGTAATTATTCTTAGTTTAGGAATACACAGAATATAAAAACAGTTTAATGCCATCATACGACGATCAGCCATAACATTATGACCACCAGGAGGATATATTTAAGAGCACTTAAAGTATTTAAGTATTCAAGTAGATATTTCTCAAATGTTCTATTACACAAGGAAGAAACAAATGAGTTATTGCAGCTGTTTCAGCTATGCTATAAATGTATATCATATAGGAAATTAAAACAGGTACATCGCCCAGCACTACTTATAAAAAGTCAGAGCAACACTTTAGGTCTTACCTGTAGCACAACTTCAGCCGAGGGGTGGGTCTGCCAAAACGAGTTGTACATGGAGGGCTTGTGGACAAACGCATTCTCAAACTAGACAAAAACAAAGAAAAAGTTTAAGATTTGGACACATACCGTAGAAAATGAGAATCTGATGGGTTTGGGGCAGACTCACCTTGTCTCTGGCCCATTGAATGGTGTGCTCTATGACAGAAGGGAAAGACTTCAGAGTGCAGAATGGGATCTCCTCTTCTGGGGGGTCCCTCTGGTGAGCGAAGGAGGATATATTTAAGAGCACTGTAAGGACTAATGTCTCTGTATATGAAGCAGTTCTAGTACTGGACTGAGATATGGAGGGAAATGAACGAGAGCAAAAAATACAAACACATATACTCACATGGCTATTGTAGGACTCTGTCAAATTTGGCACAATGATTTCTGTGTGTCCTTTAGTTCCCATGGTGCCAGAGTCCAGTAGAGGTCTCTGGTTGGATACACAGCGGCTGAAAAATAAATACAGACAGAAACATATATCAGTTGTTGGCCAAATGAGTAAATGTTTCATAAAATACCTTCCCAACTCTTATATTCAACCTCTCTCTCTAGGTTTGTGATGAGGGGTGGGTTCAGTTAGTGAGGGAAACTAACTAAAATCATCGGAATGCTTTAGATAGTATTGATTGTGTAACTTTCATATATGCACCAACCTGTCCACATATCTCCGAGCCTCCACGTTGTCCAGCGCGGTGACCACTAGGTTCAGGCGGGAATAGAATGAGTCATTGTAGATGCTCTCAGTAGCCGGACACACCTTGTTAAGATGAGCATCCACGTGCAGGTCTGGGTTGATATCGCGAGTGGCTTCTGCTGCTGTGGTACTCTTCGGTTTCTGAGACACGGGAGGACCGGAAAAGAGTTTGTGTAAATGTCTGTGTGGTTTATTACAATCAAGTTTCTTTTTAATGATCTGATTGTAATCAGAGTGCTTTTGTCTGAGTATCTGCCAGTTTGAGCTGATATTTTTCTACTTTCTTACATAATACACAATTTTAGCAACTAGTAAAAGTGTATAAATATTGAATTAAATATCTTCCCAATTTACAAAGGTTACATATATACCTACATTAAGAGTTAGGTTGAGTTAATCCATGGTTAAAGAAAAAAAGAAGGGTTAGTAAGTAGACATCTGTTCACCTGTATATGATGTGGTCTGAAGAGAAACTGACGATTGAGGTTGGATTTTTCTATAAGGTCTGGGTCTGTGATGCATACCTGAGAATTGACAGATGCCAAGTGCATGGTTTCACTAAATACATCACCAACAAGCAATGAAATATATTGCAAAACATAAAGAAATACAGTCATACAAAGAAGAGGAAACACAGAAAGACTGCCCACCTCTCCTGAGCTCTTGGCCAACCCCACTCCAAGCAGGGCAAAGTTTTTCAGCATCTCGCAGCCGATGGCACCACAGCCCACCTGGAAGGGAACACATTGTAGGATTGATTTGGACATAAACCTTAAAAAGGACTAGTGTGTAGGATTTAGTTGCAGATTGAAACCAACTGAAAACCTCTTTGAAACTTGTGAAAAGGCCCAATCATAAGGTAACAAACACATGGTTCTTATTTTCAGGTAATTATACACTAACATAACTAAACATACTAATGAATATTATATTCCATTTCTGTCAATGGATCCTCCTAAATGCTACACACTGGACCTTTAAAATAATGTAATGTAAAATTAGGCTTTCTATGTACAGGACAATCCTTACCATGAAGACCCTGAGCTTGTGCAGTTCTAGACACATTGATTCACCAATGCAAGCTCGTAATCCATCATACCGGTCTCCCCTTGGGAAAAACTCCTCAGCGGAAACAGACTGAAGTGGCCTGACTACCTCGATGGCATCAAGATAAAACTAAACATAGGAGAAACAGAGAGGGAGATGAAATTAACAGTTGGGTGGGGAAAGAAAATAAATAAATTGTGAACAAAATATTTTAAAGTTAAGTATTTCCATTGCAACAAAGAAAGTGGGTAGACTGAGCTAGTGAACTATCAGTAGGAACCATTTCACTTCTGAAGGAGGTCTACAGTTCAAATTGAGTAACCTACCCATTGCTGCAGTGGCGCAAACTTCCCTGTGATGGCCTTAAGAACTTCCTGGCTGGCTAGACCTCCTACAGCGGCTGCTAACGGAGGAAGAGTTCCCCTCGCTGTTCTCGACAAACAGCGCACCAACTCTGGATTCACAGAAGCCTGAAGAGAGGGAGAGAGGCAGGGAAAACAATCAGATATTTTGGGGCTCCTGTGTGCTTAACCTGTCAAAGAGGATATATGTGCATCTTTGCAGGTTCAAGAGAATGAATCATGAGGGATGAAAAGAAAAGAAAAGCACTTACTTTGTTCCTGAGAGTTGCATTCACTTCTTCGGTTAGCTTCAGTAAAACCTCAGCATCCTGTAAACACCTGATGGCATCAAAGTGAAACTGCTTACAACTGTTTTTTTTTTACATTTCAAACCACAGCCAAGACAAATAATATCATCAGGTGCAGAAAGTAGGGCAGCAGATTGGAAAACAAGAGAAATATTTTCTTTACCCAATGTTGGGAAGTCTACTGTGCTGCTCCTGGAAGGTGTCTAGAGCCAACATGGCTGCATGGATCTGTAGAGGGGCCTGATGGGTAGATTTAAAAAAAATAAATAAAAAAAAAAGGATTGTGAGGAAACTGCTTGGTTGGAAAGGTGGAAAGTTCACTTAGGCTATGTTTACACTGCAAGCCTTTGTGCTAAATTCTGATTTATTGCTGAGATCAGATTGTTTGGCTGGCTGTTTAAATTATATAAATATCGGATTAAAGTGTAAACAGGTTGCAGTCCTAAAGTAACCTGCATGGAGAATGTGTATCCTAATTGATGTAAAAGACACATGAATTCTGATATGACTGTTCACACTGACACAAAAACAGACCCGTATCTGATTTGGACCCCATATGAAAGTGGCCCGAATCAGAATTTAAAAGATCAGATTCCATGTGATTTAAGATCTAAGTCACATATGAGCAAAGAAATCTGATTTGGTTCACTCACTGAACTCTCTTTGATATCTGGCTTCACTAAAATCAAAACATTAGCAAATCTGGATAACTTGTCTCAAAAAGCTGGTTATCATGAAGCTCTGTTAACTCAGGCAAGAAAAGCAACAAGGCCAGAGAATACTAAGAAGCCAACTGACTGGTACAGGTACACATATGTGCTCCTTCACTTGTAAATATAATGTGAAGGTAGTGTGTGTTTTCGGCCACAAAGGAATTAATCCTGAAAGTATGATGGCTCCATTATTCCTGAAAGCTGATTGATTAGTAGTTTTTATCCAATCCAAACTTAACCTGCTCTGAATTAAGTTATGCTGCGTACTTTATGTTTTTGGTCATGTGCCTTGGTAAAGTAAGCCAGCTTTGCTGTAGAACTGGGTCAAGCCCAAAGTACTTTGTGATGCAGTCTCCAGGAACAGCTTTGACCTCTTACCTCTGGTTTACTGAAGTCTGGAGTCAGCACCTGAGGGTCACACAACTGTCTCTCTATTGTCTCCTGGAATACATAAATGGATAAACACAGAGACACACACACACAAGAATATATGTCTGTTTAGAAATGCATATATTTTTTTTGTTTAACTGTTTTATTTCTGGTCGATATGACTTGTTAACTTACAAATTTGTATGTCTTAGGGGTTTTCACCAGGACAAAGAAACCTCCATGTGCATATGGTTGTAGTTGGGATGTGTCTCCTATTGCAAAGCTGTGAGGGGACAGGACTAATACCACACACAAACACACACACACATTCAAACCAGACCCAGCACACAAATGTATAGAACAGACAGAAATGTCTTACATCAGATTATTACACTATTATGTCACTATACACAGAAAATATCTTGGAATAGGGCGGTACAATAGCATAGATTAGTGTGGGAATGATAATTTTTGAATGACAAATTTAATGAATACATTTTTTTTAAAATATTAAAAATCATGGTGATGTGAAGTTTTTGAGGTCTGTACCAAATAAATCCTAAATGTGGAGATTTATAGGTCAGGGCATCTCTGCAGGACTACAGTACTTCATTATAATGCTGTTTTGTTACACATTTTACTTGTATAAAAAAAAATTCAGCTTCTGCAATTTGCATATTGCAGTTGTGATAATAATTTGATTAATTGTGCAGCTCTATCTTGGAATAGTTCAAAATATGACAAAAATAATAGACCCAGCATGTTATGATTTGTTTTACCTATATAAATATTAACTTCAACCACATCACTGGATATGTACGCTGGTGTTTTACAATTAAAACTCTGTGAAAACATCAAATACACTATACTACAATGTAGGAATAATACCTGAAACCTGCCGTGCGGTGCCGTTGAGTTCCACCATGCCATTGACCTCTCTGAAAATGACACTCTGGCCTGTTTGTAGGCCATGCGGTTGGTTGTCCATGCAGGTCACCACCCCAGGGTTGTCCTGAACGGTCAAAATTCAAAAGGAGATCAAATGTTTTTTGGAGCAGGCACTGTCTCTGGGCTCATATTTTCATCGCCCCATTTCCAAAGATGAATTAAGGAATTTAATTTTTACATCATGCAAAAATCTGGCGAATCCACCTTGCTTATTAGATTAACTAAATTTAATACTGCTAAGAATTTCTGAAGTTCAGATTACCTGAGTGATAGTTTGGATGAAAATCTCTTTGGGTTCCTCTCCTGTGGGATCCGACACCTCAAACTCCTCTCCAAAGTCACAAAACACCCGCACACAGATGCCATATGCATCACAGCCAATGAACTGGAAAGGGCATGAGGTAAAACAGGTTGGTTACAACACAGGTTTGGTTATTATTTGAGTTTCCTATATGTGAGATATGGTTCAGCTAATGCTCTGTAACATATATCCACTATAGCCACTGTAGACTTACTCTGATGGGGGGTTGTTGTGAGTGGCAGAACTCATTCACTCTCTTCTGTAGGCTTAATCTGGTTTCAGTCAGAATCACACACTGGAGGAGAAAGCAGAGCAGACACTAAATGTTACCTGAAGTGCAGTGAAGCTGCAACCATTTAGGTTTTAACTAACCTGCCACCTAAAACCAAATCACAATGATACTTTTTTTTTTTATGTTCCATTAAAATAAGCAGGTAATGCAGACAGCCCGAGGGCAAGTCAGTGACTACATACATCATCCTTGAAAGTTTGCTCAAATCCTAATTATGTTTTGGCAATTATGACCTTTGAAATTTTGACCTTTAACTGTAGCATTCCCACTGCCTAAGAGAAAATCAGTGTTTACCCATATTGGTTAAAAATAGGACACTTCAGAACAACTGGACATTTGAATTTACAGCTATTGGGCTGATAATGCTGAAATAGTTGTTTGAGAAGTTTTTATTGTCATTTTTAAACTTTTACCAACATGTTGTCTCTATTGGGAAATATTGAAACTGCTATGAATCCAAGCTGATCACATATGAAAGAGAAAATTACAAACTTTGCAGCCTCCATTTAAGACTACAGGCGTTGGGTGTTTCCACACTTACATCCAACACAAATTTCTTGGCACCTACATGACAACTATTTTACTGACATATTGGGGGAGACATTTTAGATTCGAAAAAAGGCAAAACCTCACCTGATAGTCTCTGAGAAAGCTGAGATCAGTGTTGTCGTCCAGAGCAGAGGAAGACATGTCAACATGGACATAAGGGTTCAACTCTGCAACCCGAGGACACACTGCCTCCACCCTGTGGCAGAAAAGTAAAAGAGGGTGGATAAGAATGTGTAAAAAGAGACAAATAAATTGAGGTGGAAGAGTTTTGCACATGGGCATGAATTACAGGAGATGTGCGAGTGTATGATATTTCAGACATTTTACCTCCTTCTCTGGCTCAACACATCCTCTTTGCGGATAAAGAAGTTGGAGCCCAGATCCCAGGTCTCACATTGCTTCGGGTCATGAAGGGTGACTGCCTATATACACACACACACACACACACACACACACACACACACAAAATATATAATAACTGAGGCCACAGAAAGACCAACTCTCACAACAACACCACATTTAAACACCATATACTGTCACAGTGTTGGACAATCGTGCTATTTAGTGAAAGTGCATACCTTCACACCAGCCAGGACAATATTCTTTGCTGTGAAACCAGAAGTCAGGTTGTTTAGTGTCAAACCACAGCTGACAATGCAGAGCACGTCAGCACTATGACACTAAATATATCAGAGCAAATGTGTGCAATAATGATATTCAGCCTACCTATTTCAATTCCCAGTCCTCCCATTCCACTGAGAAAGACTGAGGACTGGGCCATCTGGTGCATAGCACTGTCTCCCAGCACATATCGCTGGCGGCTGGACACGACAAGACAAGAAGGAAGAAGAAGTGTGAGGGGAAAATGCTTGACACATAAAGAAGGAAAAGCCAGGAGCACCAGGTGCATCAACTGTACTGACTGCACTATAAAGCCCAGCACTGCCGTGTAACGTTATCTGTAGTGTCAAGAGCTTTATTTGGGGCAGACCACATTAGACTGGACAGCCAGAAGAGCAGACACTTGCCTGTAAAGAGAGTCGTCAATCTCCATCGAGTCTGCAGCCATGCCGGGAGGGGAAGAGGGGGGATTCAACTGTGTGAGAGAGAGATAGAGACTACGCCTATCAACACACATACAAGTACAGACAGCGATTACAAAACGATATGAAACGTCTGTGGTTGTCAGTGCTGATCTCAAAGCATCGCCCTGCTGTGAGCTACACGGCTAGCTCACTGCTAAAGCCGGCTAACTCTAGCTAGTTGTCAGCAACGTCGTTGACCTGCAGACTGTCAGCCGGGCACCGAGGTGAACTGACAGTCTGCAGCCGACGAAGAGCCGTATTGTAACAGCCAAAGACCACCGCTACCACAATAACGCTGAATCATATATATATAGCCTGCTGAAGAAAGCTCCCAGTTAGCAGCTAGCAGCTAACTGGCAGTGGGTGCCGGTGGCGAGGACAACACTTCACATGAGCGCGTTAAAAGTGAGGAGACAGCACACAGCGGGCCACGGATAACTCTCCACAGTACACACATACTTTAAGTTTCATCGTCCTGCTAATCGGTGTGGACATTTCTTTGTAAATGTTTCTGAAATTGAACAGTAATCGTACGTAGCTACCTGTCAGTGTGCGCGACGAGCTCTAGCAAATGAATGGTTGTGACTGGTTAAAAACTCCGAGTGTTTCCGGGTGACCGCAGTCACGTGGCCGAGGTCATCCAATAGAGGGACAGTATTTTTCAGGACTACATTTGTGATAAAACATGTCACTTGTTTTGGGAGTGTTAACACTTTTTCTCTTCTGTTTTCGTTATTCAAGATATTGCTGGTTAACATTTTTCAGAATAAAAATCTGCAAGAAAAACTATTTTCACAAGTTCACTCAGCTGTCCCCATACGTCAGTAGCATATGAGGGCATTATTTGGCTATATGTTGAATATCAAGTAAAAACTAAACAGAAAAGCAAAGAAAAGGAGGAAGGGCGAGGGTTGGATACCTGTTATGATGTACAGATTAATTAGATGATTTGAGGTTTGTCCAGTTTTGAAAATAGTTTAGAAGAGGTTGCCAGATCCTATAAAACTGTGGACGACAAGGCTTGGGTTAGGGTGCTTTTAGCAGTTTGGATTTGAGGTGTGGCATTATTATTATTCTCTAACTAGCATTTATAAGGTACTGGAATAGTCCCTTTCAGTCTGAGAAGAATCATTTCATTTTAAATGACTCATTTGTCCGATTATTAATCTTCTTATCTTAGTGGGACAATATCTTTTCCATGAAACACAATCGACAGCAGGCAAATCATTACCTTTTGTTTTCAGGAATGATTAAGATATATTTTAATGTTGTTGATAAGAGTAATATTAAAAATCAATTTAATAAAACCTTCAACCTTTAAAAGATAAGATACATTTTGTTTTGTAACATTTTCTTATTTGTGACTTTTATGTATTCCGTTTATGTATTTTTTGTATTATTTGTTTTCATTTTATATGTGCATGTATATGTACACCTGTTTTAGACATCAGTGCTCAACCCTTTGACTGTCCTGTGACAATGCAGTATCATTTGATAAACAACAACATAGCAATGTGTTCATCTTGATTGCTGAACCAGTTCCAACCAGGGAGACAGACCAGAAAACACAAAACAGGGTCTGGGTCCTACACTGTTTGAAGAAACAAAGGTCAACAGACGAGTGAAACATTTACATCCTACTGCCTCCCAGTCTGGGAGATGATGTAAGGAAAACACAGCCTGCTCTCTTTAATACTTTTGTGTAATTTGTGTCTGCGTATATATGTGTGTTTGTTAGTGTGTGAGAGGGGAAGAAAGAAAAAGAGTTTGTTAGTCTTTGTTTTGTATCTGTGATTTAAATTCTATCTAGCTTGAAGTGAAAATGACCTTAAATTTAACCTAATCCCAAAAGCCAGACAAAGATTTGAATCAGTGATTTGTGTTTAGCTGTCTGGGGCAGTATCCCTCAACAGACACCCTCCCTCTCATCATATTGGTCAAAGACACTCACAGGACCCTCCCACTGAACTAGAGCCAAAATCATGCACATGCACACAACAGACTCCAAAGTACTACTTTCACCTCTCGGACACCTGCCCACAGGTTTACTCTCTCAAGGCAATGTGGTGCAGTCGTATCGCACTGCGTCGGTTCCAGCGGATTGCTGTTACTCCTTTGAATATCACTGGGGGTCTAACAAGCAACGTGCAAAGGGAGATGTCAACCCTGCCACGGGTGTATGTCACCCGACAGATCCCACCTGAGGGCCTGAAGATCCTCCGTGAATCTGGACAGTGAGTCATGGTGTCTTGGAAATAAATGCTTTTTCTAAACATGTTGCATGACCGATTAATGATGTAATATAGCTGATTTGACTGTGATACCTTTCCGAATTTTGAAATGTCTGCTTTGTAAGGTTCATCATTTACTTTGAGTAAACAGGGTTGCTAATGTTTGCCCTGGTGTTAGTTAGATAAGACTGGTAGCCTAAAGGGTATTCCCCCACAGCAAAGTTGAAAAAATGCCCCACTGAACCTTAAAGATTCAGTGTTTCTATGAAGGCATGTGATAAAGCTTGATACACTGTATATCTTAGTAGGAACTTTAACTGAAGATTCAACAACCGATGAATTTCCTTCTGTGGATAATTAAAAAACAAACTGATTGGATTTGGCTCCTGAAGTCACGTTTTCTGGTTTTCCCAGGGTGCAGTTTGAGCTATGGGACTCAGACGACGCCCCCGTGCCCAGGAAGGAGCTGCTTCAGAAGGTCAAAGGTGTTGACGGCCTGGTCTGCGTGCTGACAGAGAAGATTGATGCAGAGTTGTTGGATGCTGCAGGTGTGAGGAAAGTCTCTGAGTCAGCTGAGTGACGAATACAGTGGAAACCCCTCTCAAATGTGTATATGTGTACCCCTGCAGGTCCGAACCTGAAGGTCCTCAGTACGATGTCAGTGGGTTTTGACCATCTCTCTTTGGACGAGCTGAAGAAAAGGTGTCTCCTATCTTTTTATTTCTTGTATGTTGTTGTGTATAGTAAGACATAGTGATGGAGACTTACTTACAGTGACCCCCCAACCCCTCAAAAAGCTTGTTAATATTCAAACATCTGGTGACACGTGTATAACATAAGTTTTCCCCCAGAGGGATCCGTGTGGGTTACACGCCTGATGTTCTGACAGATTCTGTGGCTGAGCTGACGGTGGCTCTGCTGCTCACAACCTCCAGGAGGCTCGTAGAGGCCACACATGAAGCCAAAACGTAATGTCACACGCACACTCACGCACGCACACGTACTGAAATGTTTTTTGGGTCAAACGTTAAATACATCTCCCTCTCGTGTCAGTGGTGGCTGGGGCACATGGAGAACTCTGTGGCTGTGTGGATATGAGCTCGCCAACAGCACTGTGGGTATCCTGGGTCTGGGGAGGATTGGTGAGCATACAGTTTTTGAAATCACTGTCGAGCAGCATTTTCTGTAAATCTGATGACCTCTCACATGGTGTCTTTGTGCTCTAAGGTGTGGCTATTGCTGAGCGTCTGGCACCTTTTAAAGTAAAGAAGTTCATATACACAGACATAGCCCCCAGGCCTGAACTGGCCAGTATCATCAATGCAGAGTATGGTAAGTTTTATAGATGTCTCATGTCAACATTTTATGTTGTTCTAATCAATGCACACTGGATACGCAGTCAGCCATTTTATTTTAACATGATATCACCATTGGCACTGTCTCTTTTAGTGTCTTTTGATGAGCTGGCAAAGCAGTCTGATTTTCTGTCTGTGTGCTGTGCTTTAACGCCGGAGACAAAGGAGATATGCAACAAGGATCTCTTCTCCAAGATGAAAAATACCTCTATCTTTATCAACACAAGCCGGTACCCTGAACTCAAACACAAACACACACTGAACCACTAATGGTGGGAGAAATACCCAGATCATTAAAAATAACACTAGCACATTGTAAAAGAACTGTTTCAAGTAACAGTAAAGTAACATAATTATAACTAGAGCACATTATACTTAAAAGTCCAGGAGGATCTATTGGCAGAAATTAAATATATTAATCATAGGTATGTGTACAGTCAGCTGAAAATAGGAATTGTGTTTTTGTTACCTTTTAAGGAGTTTTTATCTACAGTATGAGCGGGTCCTCTTCTACAGAGTCTGTCATGTTGAACCGCCATGTTTCTATATTAGCCCAAAATGGACAAACCAGACTCTGACTTTAGAGAGTTTTGCAGCCACCGTAGTTTCTCACACACACACACTTGAAAGGCTGAATTGTATTTCAATGTTTGCAATCTTACTACTTAAGTAAAGTACAAGTACCTCAAAATTGCACTTAAGTACAGTACTTGAGGTCGGTGCAGACTAATTCAGCCATGAGTGCAGTATCTGTGTTCTTCCTGTGTTTGTCTGTAATTCTGTCTGTTGTGTCAGGGGCGGTGTGGTGAACCAGGAAGACCTGTATGAAGCTCTGTCCACGGGGCAGATTGCAGGGGCTGGGTTAGATGTCACTGTTCCTGAGCCCCTCCCCACAAACCACCCACTCTTTACCCTGAAAAACTGTGGTGAGTGTCAGACTTCTTAGTGCTTCAAATGCCTTTAAAATAGTTGTTTTTTTAAGAAACCAATTAAGGCAAAATCACTGTGCTACGTTCTCACTGCCTAACATTTGTCTAATTCTCTCCTCCCACAGTGATTCTCCCGCATATTGCTAGTGCCTCCTATACTACCCGTAACGCCATGTCTGCCCTGGCAGCAAACAACCTCCTCCTCGGCCTGCGGGGTGAGCCGATGCTTAAAGAACTCAAACTGTAAAAAAAACTAAAAAACAAAAACGGGTTCCACTCTGACAACTGGCTGAATACTGGACTCAATAAGTTTAACTCGTGTATCTAATTATTCTTTAGAGGATTCAAATAAAACCAGGACTTTAAGTGTGTCATGGTATGTTTCCTTACTTGCTTGAGTTTTAATCTTAAATGTAGTTTTGTACGTGTTTAATCTTGTATAATATCTGTGCTGCTTCAGCTCGTGTTCCATGAAAATGTCACCAGCAACAAAACAGAATTTCTTTTTTTTTTTTTTATTCAGTCTATACACCAACTGAACATACTATACAATCTTTATAGCCTTCAACAGTAAAGAGACAAACATTTAGTCCTCTCATGGTTACACTATGTTAGTTATACAGAAAAACAAACAGAAATACTTCAGATTTGGCATATCAACATAAAGCCCAGCTTTTCAAGCTAGAGGGCATAAGGCAGTGACTTTCATAATCAATTTAGGCCTTTTATATATTTTTAAAGTTTTAAAGTTTGGCATATTCATACAGGGGTAATACAGTCAGTGCATTTTTCAGAGATTCACATTAACTGTTTAAGCAACAGCTTTAGAAGAGAGCACCATGATAATCCTTAACAGGCCACTGTGTGAGACATGGAAGATATTTTCGAGGACTACGTCTCTTCTTCGCCTCATCACCTGTACAACTCTGTATTTCTCAAGAGGATATTCCAGTAGGGAACACAGGAACAGACGTCAGATTTGAGATTTAACCACCAGTGATCATTTTAAAATTCAGTGGCTGAGCTTCAGCGACTTTACTATCAATCAAAGTATAAAGAATTACAGGGCAAACGGTAGGTTAACTTATGTTTACAGGGCAAACATCCTACAAGGCAATTATTGTTCTGAAATTGAAAAGTCCGGATTATCCATTAACATATGTTTGAAATAATATAGTCATTTTGTACAGGCTAACAGTGTGATGACTCTACAGTACAATAAGGTGCAACTAGAAATGGAAGCAATGTGTTTCTCATAGACAGTGTAGGCGACACAATACAGCAAGCAATAAGGTATACGAAAAGGCAAACATGTATTTAAAGTGTTATTTTTTTCATTTTGGTTCACTAAAACAGAACTCTACAACACTGCATGAACACAGATTTCAATTAACCGACTGTCTACCAATGAAGCTGCTCCTATTTACAAATTTAGATGACTTCTCAGCATGTTCGTATTTTTTTTTTCTTACGCAGTTCGTCAATTGTAAGAAAGCTTTCAACCTTACATTAAAATACAGTTAACATACATAAAAAAACAGCTAAAACTCCTGAAATTAACTTGAAAAATGACAGGAGTCCCTATAAAATTCTTTTTTTTTTTTTTAAATGTTCTTCATGTGTATTAGCAATTCACAAAAATGTGAAAGTTGTATGTTATAGATCACCTGCTAGCAAAAATGCTACAACCCTTAGCTTGCAAACTCATCCTGATAGTAATGTAACGGAAAGAAAAACCCTTGAGAGCTGGTAAAACTGGATAATCGCATTAAAGCAACGTTTTGACATTGTTCAACATTCCAGTGAACGTATTAGTTATAAAAAGAAAGAATGATTTGTCTGAGTGCGTTTGTGAGATACATTAAATGTATGAAGAGGTTTATAAAGCACTGATATTAAGTACAGTAGCAAACTGTATGTTTTGTTCTTCATGAGTTGTTTTGTCTCTCCTCCGAGAGAAAAATGATGAAATCAACCACAAATGTGCAATATTTACGACTCTACCTCTCAGTGCAACTTCATCGCCCTTTTAATAAACATACTGTACACACAAGAACACCGGCGACCAGGGAAACTTAGCTGATGTGTCTGTGGATGGTCAAGTAAACTTGATGGCCACAGCTGAACTTTGTGTGGTCATTCTCAGTCAGTAAGGACGGAAAGTCACTTATATCTTATATCTTATACAGACCACAACAAACTGGCAAGTTTTGCACATCATGACACAAAATAAGGTGCATTTTCCCGTGAAGCTGATATCTGGGTATTAAAACATCCTACTGGCTGTGATTTGTTTGTGCCCCTAAACAATGCAGATTAATTCCAGGGATAACAGGTCTGCCGGGCAAGCAAATTGTGGTAAGAGGTTGATTAGCGCAATTCAAAGTTTCCCATTTCTTCAAAACTTGCATTTGACAAACTACAGATATAAATCTTTCTAAGCGAGACATTTATTCCTGTAGTCACATGAAGTGTGAAGGCCCCATCAGTGCAAACTGAATTATCTTGCCAGTGACCAGACACATGCTCAACTCTAACTGAGCCGAGCAACACTTCTGTTGGTGAGAATTCAAAGGCAGTGTTGGGATAGTTATCAAAAAGATTTCATTTATTACTAATAACTCTTTTAAGAAATATTATTACTTTACGTAATACTCCCTGCCAACAGTAATTAGTTACACTAATAGTTATATTACTTTTCTGCAACTCCTAACGCAATCGGTCATTTTGTCCCCAAAATCTAAGTAATGGGAGCTGGAAATATTCCATCTGCTGAATGTAATCATTGCCAGCTAGTTTCCTCCTCCATTACAAAAACAAATCCAGGGGTGTGATTGGATTGTCGGATTTCAAATCAGTACGTGATGACAACAAGAGTAAGGTTGTAACTCATTGGGCTGAAATGTATTAATAATTAATTACCCTACTAGTTAGTCGTATTATTACTGTAATACTATTACTAGTAATGACTGCTCAACACTTTTCAAAGGTGCTTGGGACTGAAAGGCAACTATAGAGGTCAAAAGTGTTTTGACGGGTTGTTTCCGTCTTGGTCGACAATGTCAATTGGCTCAAATTTAAGTAAATAACAGAAGCAAGTTAACATTACTTGTCGAGTTCACAAGGTTTCCGCAGCACACCAAAAAACAAAACTCTTTTCTGTTGGTTGAACAGATTTTGGCATTACCTAGACCTGTCTCACAACTGACCGACTGAATCTGACTCTATCCACCTTTTTGTACAGTAGAGTAAGCATCAAGAGCACACAACCATCAACACTTCTTACAGGCATTATATCTGGCACACAAACTGAATCTGAATCAGTTCATCCATAGTCTGCACGACTTTCCTCGCACAGAATGAGGCACAATCAATGTGCACACATACCATGACTCAAAAGTGTGATGCTGCTACATGTTTAACAAATGTGCAATGAAAAATCTACACATAAGGACACTATTTCACATGATATTTGTTCCTAATGTTGGTGCTGCACAGCTGCCTCTGATCTGTAACCACTCAGACTGAGTGTTAGAATTATATAGAAATCTGCTTCAATAAACGTACCGCAAACTCTAGTTGTTTAGCACTGAGGGCTCACCTCAACACATCTAAACTTCACTTCACATATATAGCTATATAGCTATATATATGTATAGCATACATATAGCTAACAGTGTGTAGCTTTAAAACCCAAGTCTAGACTGGCCCGGATCATATTATGTAAAGTCCACTGGCTGCATGTATTGAAAGTGAAGGACAATCCTCATAATACTCTCATGATATTTGTACAGGGGAGAATACAGTGTGTATCTAAGGTACTCCATAATGAAACCATAGCAATAAACGTGGCGCCTTTGTACGTCCTGCATCCCTAACATCTTTCTACAACCTAAATGTCTTCATGCTAACTTTCACTGATTTGATAGTGTGGGTTCCTCCTGGAAAAGGAAATGTATGGTTACATTAGTATCCCTATCTTTGGTCTGTGATCAGGACCGGTTAGTTTGGACAGAACCTAGTTAGAGTCCTACAGCAGGGCATTGGACATGTTACTGTTCTGCCAGCGCAGGCAGGTGGTCTTGGAATGCTTGTACAGGTGGGAGGACTGGCTGAAGCGCTTCCCACACTTCAGACATGCGTACGGTTTCTCTCCCGTGTGGACGCGGATGTGTTTCTTGCAGTCAGTCAGCGTGAGGAAGGTTTTGCAGCAGATTTTACAGGCGTATTTCCGCGCCCCCTCAACCACCAGCACGTTGTGCTCCGACAGAGCCTTCTTGCACTTTGACAGGACATCGGCTGAAGCTCGGGTCAGCTGAGGGGGCAGGGAGGTGGGCCTGCCACTGTTCATCTCATACCCACCGTTCTTGTTTAAAAGCAGAGGACTGGCCAGACTTGAGGACGAAGAGGCGGCATCCTGGAGAACGCCGCCTACTCCTTCTTCTCCCCCCATGCCGGTGGCCATTTTTGGAGCAATGCGTCTGTAACCCGGATAACCCAGAGCGGCGGCGGTCGTTCCTGCTGCCCCCCGTGACGGTCGACCCAGGGAGTGAAGTCCCAGGCTAGAGCGCTGGAAGTCCAAGCCAAAGGGATCTCCCCCGCCACACCCTCCACTACCACTTCCCCCACTTCCTCGAGGGTTCCCTAAACCATCGTGAAGGGGGCGCAGAAATAGAGAATCAGCTTGCAGGTTGTCTCCAAAACTGTTGCGACTCTCACCACTGAGAGGACCTGACTGCAGAAGAGAGGAAGAAGCCGAGCCGGATGGCCCGGCAGCTTCCTGTCTGAGCAGGAAGTGATGTGCTACCGCATCTCCAGTTGTTGTGTTGGGGAGCTCGTCGTCTCCGGCAACCAACCCCGCCCCGCCACTTCCGAAATCCTTCGGGCTGAGGAAGCTAGAAATACTAAAACCAGGTTTGCCACTCAGTCCGTTATTACACCCGAAACCTCCTCCGACTCCGGCGCCTCCTCCCATGCCGCTCTTGAGGAGAAGCTGCGAGCTGGGCTGCAGCAGAGAGTCAGAGCTGGGTTGGGGCTCAGAGGTGAAGCTTCGGTCACTGCTCTGTGGGCTCAGCTCCGCCTTCTCCTCCTCCTCCCGGCCGCCGGGCTCCGCCGGGTCGCTGCCTTCAGCCTGCGATGTCACGTCGCTGATTTCGTCCGTTGGCTCAGGCGAACTCAACGGCTCTCGTTTAACCACCACCTATGTAAAGCAAAGGAGGAGTTTCATCTAAGGTCAAAGGAGGATTTTGAATTTAAAAAAAAAAGTCAAGGAGCATGCAAAGACAGCAGCGAGTCACTTACATGTGCATGTAGTGTGAAATTCTTTATACTCTAGGGTAACATGTACACTTAAATCTCACAAATATGCACCTCCTCGTCAACAGGGGGCCGTTATCGGGGTGAAATAGGGGATTTATGATGTTTGTGCAGATAAGAGAGTTTTGTAGTATGAAACTCTTGCCGCACAGGGCTTAATGAGAGTTAGTTACTTTGTCACAAACAACAAATCAATCACTTTACCTTCTGTTCTTCGACCTCTTCCTCCTCTTTCCCTGATTTGATCGTCACCCCCGCTCTGTTGTCCTGGTGGTCCTCCTTTTCCATGTCCTCCTCCTTGCTCACCCCTCCCTGCATTCTCCCCAAGTCCTCCCCCTCACAATGCCCGCTGTCCGACTGGCTGGGCATCTGAGGATCATCTTGGGACGCCGCGACCAGGCCAGTGATTGCGGCGTCCAACTTGGACTCATCTCCCATCTTGTGTGAGTCTGGGGAGAGCAGAGCTCCTTCCTCTCGCTCTGCGTTCACCCCTCCTTCCCCTAACAACCCCAGGTTAGGGGCGGAGGGCCGCTGCCTCTGCCGGGGCCTCTCCTCCGACAGGCCCAGGGCCAGAGACGGCTTGCGTTTGTGGAAGCGTCGGATTGGGAAGGAGGCCCTCTGTTCAACCCCTCCTCTGCCAACTCCGTCCTCCTCCATCCCACCCAGAGCAGAGCTCACTAAGCTGAGCCCCAGCTGCTGCAGGAGGAAGGAGCGCTGCAACTTTGACGTGGCAGCGTTTGCTGCTAAATCGGCTAAATCTGCTACCTGCTGCTGCTGCTGCTGCTGC